GGTTTTTTGTACCGGTGGGGCAGAGGCCGGCCTCAATGCTGCGAGGCCTGGCCGTGCCCTGAACCGTCGAGATCGACGGTTCAGCCCCAACCGGCAGGTGGCAGCCTCAAGAGCGCCGCCAGGCCCAAACGGTAATGTCGTTTGGGCCTGCCCGTCGGGTCTGGTCCAAGTCGTGGCCTTTCAGCCTGATATAATCCCCCAAGGTCGGGCCTTTAGGTCCTAATGTGTCCCTCTAGCCCTCTGTCGGGTCCAGTAGGACCCGTGTGGCATCGAAGATGTAACACATGATTGACACAAAATCAAAATATCAATAAGCATCATGATGAATTAGTTCATTTTCAGCGTTCTTTAATTTATTCCTTAATTGTAGTTCACTTTCATCGTTCTGCAATGAACCCAGTCGGATGAGAAGCTTGCGAATGTCAAAATACAAGTCTGACACAGCGCAGCATCAGTGTCTCCAATTTATGAAACCATGGTCGTCATACATGTAGTCTCCCAATGGCTTGAACTGAGAGAAGTGAATGAGGAGAGAGGGAGAAGAGACTGAGAGGAGGAGGAGAGTTTCCACAAGAATCAACAAATTCTCCTCTCAAGCCCACTTCCTCCTCGGGCATCTCCCTCACTCGCCACGCCAGCAATACAGTTCTCCCCTGACGATCTGTGACATATACAACGAACCGGTTACAGCAGGGGGCACATCCTCCAGCCACGTCAGCAGCACTCAAGGAAGATGGTGAAAATCTTCCTCTTGGAGACCAGCAGCAAAGCACGTGCGTTGTCACAGGTAAGTCCAGGTAAGCTTCTCCTCATCACTCACACCAATCTCACAGTCCAGATCCTCCTCCTCCTTGGCTACTCTCCTGTCAATGTCGAAATCATGGCTATGGCCACGTCAGCCTAGTCGCCGTCAAGGCTGGCTCCTGTACTCGGTATCTGGCGCCAGCATAAAGCTCCAGTAGCCTTGCATCGTCGCACCAGAATCAAGCTAGCGCCAGGCAGAATGCACAAGACTGTGTTATGATTCTGCTCACAGAGACTTCCAGGTATGCCCATACATACACAGAAGGAAGGGGAGAAGATAGGAGTATCAAACCGCACAGGAAGAGATAACACAGCGGAAGACTTGACCATGCGATATGACAGGGTACATTGAAAGTGCAATTCACTCCACTCAATCCTCACAACCAGTTATAAAGAAAAGCCGAGCAGATCACATCCAGGAAACAATGAAATGATGATAGTCCAAACCCAGTTACACACTGTTTGTTAAACTCAGAGTCTCGAATTGTCAGGATAACTTCAGTACTACAGTGCGCTGCTCAGAAATGAGCAGCGCTTCACTCCCCCACCCTGATTAGCACCCATAACACCCCTGAGCCCCTGAAACATCAAGCGCCACCCAAATACAGCCTCCTGAGGGAAGCGCCACCCTGAAACAGGCCTCTGAGGCCAAGTGCCACTCAGAGGATGAAGAAGAAGACCAGCACCACAGTATCTGATGATGACGAAGTGTCGGAAGACTTCCCGGGTGGAAGTCTGCAGCGGCGCCACCAAACCCTGACAAGATGACCTCTGAGGATGAAGCTGCAGCTATGGCTGCAGCGCCACCACCCTGGAACCCCACTCCGGAGGAGGGTCCAGCAGGGCACCAGCCTCTCTCGCCTCCAGCAGACCTCAATAGCCCACAGACCCCTGCGTGCTGGCAGAGTACAGCGCAGGTCCCAGCTATGGCCGGCGCTCCGAAGGTCTGGCTATGTCTGTCTCCTTCCACGCTGAGCCGTCACCACTTCCGGTTCACGCGTAGCGCAGCAGCGATGTACTCGGTACCAACTGCCAAAAGCCCTGAACCGATGTGCCCATTCTATCTATAGACTAACCTAGCCTAGACTCAACCTAGACCGGACTGACTGAACCACCGATACCGTTTCTGTTTCGGCCTCTCGGCCTCCACTGGACCCGGCTATAGGCTACAGGACCGTCTATCAGAATAGGCCCTTAGGGCCTGTCTGTCCTAGGGGTAGCCCGGGCCTGCTATTCGCAGTTAGTCTAGCGGTAGGGAATTCTGTTAGTACCGGGCCTGCATTTTTCCCAAATTTGCAGATATGTCCCTCACGAATTGCCCTCACAGGTAGGTCTCTCAGTTAGCCCTCAGCCAAACAAAATTACGAATCTATCCTACCCACAGTACAGCCTCGACAGAGAGAGGCTACAGGCAACCAGAAAACAGCAAGTCATTGCAACTGAATGATCTCCAAGCAGGGGCCAGGTCAACTTATATGGATCACTAACGTTGACCAGCCTCTGGTCTCCTGAGGTCGACGGCACAGATCAATCGGAAGCCCATGGCCTGGATGTTGTATAGTTGCGGATTTCCCACGTGTCCCACGTGGACCGGATTCTTCTGGATACCTGCAGACAACCAATGATGCTCATCTGATCTACAGCCGTGGCTGACTAGCGTGTTGACTTTGATCTCTGGGCCTGGATTCCCGTGCTGGGGTTGACCGTTGGCGTTCTCAAAGGCAACTGTTCCTCGCAGGGGGACGCGACATCTGCAGATACTGAGATTCGATCCCTAGACCTATGCCTGAACCCTGTACATTGACCCTGTTTGACTGTGTGAGATTCAAACCCTCGACCTGTCCTGTGCCATAGGTTAGGCTGTCGGAAGGGAAGTTGGGCCTTGATCCGTAGGTCTGTAGGTTACTACTCAAGTACGTTAAAATTAGTTTAGGAAGGTCTGTTCTAGAAGTCTCTAGTTACCTCTTCGTAGGCCTAAGAGTCAGTCCGTAGGTAACAGACCGTAGGCTCTAGGTCCCAGAAGAGTCTGTCCGGAAGAGTCTGTCTGAG